ACCTCTATCCACGAACTATACGTATTTCGAGTGCTGCAACCATCTTGGAAGAAACCTGTCTGGTTAGTGTGCGGTAAACTTGATCTCAATTTATGAGGGCAGACGACGGCTTACAGTAACGAGTGAGTGACCTGGAACACCGTGATGTACGTTTCTTGGAACTCATACTGGAAGATGTGTTAGGATTGCCGCTATTTGTGAGATAATTTTAGCTCTGCATATGGTTGGTTGTATTTGATAATTATTACTGCCACTGATGTAAGGGAATGGAAAACTAAAAAAGTAAGAATGCTTTAACAAAAAAGTATGCCTAATATAAATAAATTAGGCGGCCCCTAGACGACAAGTTCTCTGGAATATGGATGTTTCAATATTATTTTAACATTATTGCTGTTTTTCAATACCATTAGTGGTACACAACCAGATATCTGCAGATCTCAGTGTTTCTTGCATTCGATTCTTTTCCTTACATCCGTCATCCATGGTTGTCGAATTTTTTTTGCCTGCGGCTTCGATTGCTGCTTGAGGGTTTTATTCTCTTCGTCATGGACGTCGTTGATTGCTCTTAGAGTCGATTCCTCCTGGAATCCTGCGATAGACGTGCTAGATCCCTACGTGAATGGGAGGCAGTGAATTCATCTCGTTTTCCAACTAAAGGCCTATGCAAACTTTGGTGGCTCGATGAGTAGTTGAGCTAAGGCCTGGGTAGGCTGAGCCTCCATGCAATGGGCAGAATCACAACTACTGCGTTGTCCGACCTCTAAAATCAAGACCACTATCATGGTAGTTAGATTTTCCACTTTATCATACATTTTTACACGTATATGTCTTCTCAACTAATAAGGTAATATTTAACTTTAAAAGGATGAAAGGATAAAGCTCTCGGCGTTGATCAATCCCTGAAGGATGTGCCATGCATTCGACTTCAATAAGCATCGTTTGGAGGTAATCGAATGCATATCTGGCCTACTGATGTATCGAGTCAGTGCTGCTATCCTCCCAGACAAGTCTAGTATCAATTTGCCGACCTCGGAGTGGTGAAAGGCATGGTAGGCCATGGGCGCGAAGATCGATTCCACGTGTGTGTTGCAGGGTGCCCCTGACCACTGCGCCACACGAGCAGCATAATATTTAACTTTAACTCTATGAATAATAACGTTATATATCTGCTATAATGCTGAGTTATTTGCAAAACTCCGGACTGCAGGTGTCCGCTGTGGGGAACGAACGCGCTATTGTCCTTTCCGGCTAGCAACGCGTTCACCACTACTACGTTCTTCGCTTCTTCGCTACAGCCTGTCTCTCAGCTGTCATTAACGTTATAGTTGATGTAATAGTTTATAATATATAATGTTGAATGTTTGGCAACCAGTAAGTAAAATTTCTTCTGTAGGAAGCTGGTATCGCTGTGATAGTGATCTCCTTCATTATGAAGGCGGTCCAACCTTCCATGGCGCTAGTTCGACTACTCACCGTGGCCAAGCCTGTCGTGCCTACAGCATCGGAAAATTGGTATCGACCTTCTGTAGTAGAAGAATACTTATTTTAATCCACGTGGGAACGCCCTAGCGCAGTTACCCAAGAACTACAGGGAATAGCGACTTAACAACATTCAGTGGCAGTCATGGCGCAGACAAAAATTCCTTACACAACAATCAAATCCAAATGCGAAAAAAGTTAGAAAACGTGAATGGTGGATGCGAGGAAGTGAATCTAATACAGGAAGAGTTGAGATCCGCGCATTGTGATACATGTGATTTTACGTGATGTACTAATAATAATAGCAATAATAATAAAGTTTTTTTTCCAGAAACCGACTTTCCTTGAAAGCAAGACGAGATTGACAAATTAAACACTGTTCGGCTAACGTGTCAAAGTCTTCGCCTTCCTCTGAGCTCATGATTCCAGTTAATATCCACAATCCTTCATACTATCGACTTGGTGTCTTCGTCATCGCATGAGTCCGATTTCTTTCAGTGGAGATCACTTGAATGAGGCAACCTCACCTGGCGATGTTTTCTGGAAGTTCTTTCTATTTGTATTGCTATCAGTATACCAACGAATGGACAATTCTTCGTATAGCTTGTTCATTGATAACTCTTCTATACCAGAAATTTCCAAAATCATCTAAGCAAAAGCCTGCCCGTTTGATCGCATTACTTGTCTTCAGCTGGCTGTCACCGTCGATTTTGTCACTTTCACTGAACGATCAAAAGGCTTCCTCGGTTTTGTCACTACTGACTCTTCCGCCACTATTGTGACGATGGCCGAATAGAGCAAAATCCTCTTAGCGAAAGCAACTCCTTTCAGGCCAGCTCATATGGCGGAACGGATATCTCTCTTTCTAATTTTTTTTTATGCTTATACCAGTTGTTTTCGAATGCCATCAGACATATTTTGCAGTAATATTTTGTTTTATTCATGAATTGACACGAGATTTTGCAGAACTATAAAGACCTACAAAACGGCCTTTCACAGATTTTGCCTTCCATGTTCTCTTTAGTATTCCTAATACTAAACACTATCAACTCTCTTATCCATTGCTTCTTTAATATTTTTCGTGCTTTGAGATTTAATAGCAAAACTTTCGATTCCATCCTAATGGTCATTGATCTATACAAACAGCCTAAATATTAAGGAATTTACTCTTACCGTTCCATTTCCAGACACAAATATGAAGTTGTTAAAAGTTAGCTTACGCGAAAGCCTACTTTTACAAATTTTCTTTCTACGGTTTCATCCTGAGATTACAAATATTAGAAAGGCATTTAGATGACTGAGAGACAAGCGAAACGAAGAACCCGCACGTTGTGGTGGTGAACGCATTAACCCCGGAAAGGGTAATAGCGCGTTCGTCCCCACTGCAGGCGCCTGCGGTCTGGAGTTTTGCAAATATCTTAGCATCATTGTGGTTATATCAAAGATAATAACCTGCCGTGAAAAATTGTAACAGGCAGGTGGTAAAAAGTTAACATTTTAAAGGTATTATCCAATAGAATCTCGGTGATGTCGTCACTCATAGATATCTCATCTTTCCATTTTATGTATTTTATCTTTTGTCGCATATACAATTATGAACCATTAGCAAACGGATGAATGACATACCTCAAAAAATTTATCATTTTTATATTTGTTTTTATCATGTTATAATTTTATTAATAAAAATATCACTTATTCTTTACCCATTTGATGTTTTCACGATGAAATCAATGATTGAGTTATTCGTAGTTGGTAAGAGAAGTGGAATAATAAAGATTTAGAAGTATAACATTTAAATGCTTTACTTGCAATTCACCTAGGTATTCTGGGACATCGCCAGAGTGGTCACTTTACAATTACAGTAATCGATCGATTATTCTTCTTGCTTTTCAATATTTTGGTATCACTATGAGTTATGTACCTTTCATTCTATACTATTCATTAACCAATATGTTCTTATTGCTTTAGAATATTCAATTTTCGATTGTATATGGTTTTAAACGAAATTCTACAAAATCCTAGATATCCTTTCATTTCAGCATGACGGATTTGTTTCCTGTTCTTCTATTGGTAATCACAGGTAAAGTATTATTTCCGCGATTTCGACTTGAACAATCACTTGAACACATGAGCTTAAAGAATTTTACCAGAACCGTGTCAATGTCAATTTTTTTCCTAGAGCTTAATGTTCTCTCCACATGGGGCTAAACAGAAAAGGTGCGAAATTTATTGTTTCTTTTTCATAATTGCACTTCATAGATGTCACTAATCTTTATGCGTTTGACCTTCGACCTTCTTACCAACCGAGTTTAATTTCTCTTTATTATCTGTACAACTTCTGTACAACAAGGGCCACATGTAGCGTAGTGGACGCCTTTTAACACACACGGTTTTGGTGATCCCAGAGGGATAGACTCGGCACTTTAGGCCCACCAAGTTCTCAATCCCTCTGGGATCACCAAATTGGTATCAAATTGTCTCAGAGGACAGCATCACTGACTTGATTCACCGGCTGCCCACCGCGAGTTATTGTATATGCCAAATATACATTCAACCACATATAACGATGTCTATTGATGTCAAATGCATGGACCATCCCTCAGGGATTGATCAACTCTGAGAGCTTTTTCCTTTATTATCCTTTATATGCATGTGTATAATCCCTGAATAACATACTAATCTAGTACAAAGCCGCTCTAATTGTTAATTTGTATACTAAGGCGAATTTTCTTCATATCGTGGATTTTGAGCTGGGTTTACATGAAAAAATCACGAAGCACACCATTTGGGAAATAACCCCGAGTTAATCAAGGTGAGAATGTACTTGCCATCATACACAAATGAGTTCAAGGGATGTGATCCGAGCCTTTGTTATGTCGGACTGCCTTGGAAATATATGTAGACATACTCAAACATGATTATGCAAATATAATTACAAATGTGGGAATTGACCCTTCACGTTGGAGGCTCGCTCAGTTCAGTGGTTGGAGTTCCCTTGTAATAGGTACTGATTGGATAGTTCTGTGGTTTAATACCGCGCTTCACGAAGCGAAAGGTTCACGAAACATTCTATCCCTCCGAGATCGGTTGGTTGGTACCAGAGAATAGCAGCATTGAATTGATACATCGTTATATTTCGGCTAGTCAATACATGGGATAAATATTTGTTCGCTAACCTTCATGGTTCTACGAAAAGTGTGAAATGCATGTCGCATCTCTTAAAGTTGGTCATCGGCGAGAACATTTAGCTTTTATTACATGCAGTGTAGTTTATTTGTTTAAAGAACAACTTTATAATGCCGCTAACTATTTTTTCTTTTATTAACACAGCAAGGAGCATTTCAATAACAAAGCGTGATTTAGCCGAGTGAGGGAAGATTTTCCCATGTAACAAAATTCCTATTTCAGCCGCTGCACAGCCACGACAGTTCTTACGATGTACGTCAAGAAGTTGTTGCGATCGTCATCAGTTTTGTGCCTTTTGGTCCAAAAACGACGAATGTGCGAAAAATCCCAGGTGGATGCTTCCTAACTGTCAAGTTTCCTGTAACGTCTGTTCCAGCAACGTTACCAAGCAAGTTCTACGTAAGTTTAACTGTCTAAACACAATTTTTTTCAAATAACATTTGAATCGTGATGGACGGTGTGTGGATAGAACATCACGGCATTGCGCCATAGAAACGAATGTAAAGACACTACTTTAACTGATGATATTTTCGTAAAGAGGAACTCACATTGGACATTTCGTTCATTATAATCATCAAATCAGTCCACCATTTTCAGCTGCTCAGTCTTCACATAAAGGCAGCTTATCAGATAAGTGCGCTGACGTGATTGCGGTTGAAGGTGAGAGAGCTTTTCGAACAGCTTCGGAAATGTACTTCTAAAAATCCAAGGCAACCGCGCCATCAATTCTGACCATCATCTTTTCCAACCGACAAAACGCGATCAGGCTCTTAGAAGTGCTAAGAAAAGTAAAAAGAATGAGCAGCAGTAGTTGTTTCCTTTTGCTCTTCATTTGTATCCTGGAAAAATTTATTAAAACATTTCAAAAAATTTGAAATTTGACTAGATTAACATAAATATGAGGCATTCAGTGGAACATCGGCAAGTGTTCTCAGTACGCCAACTGCGAGCACGTCAACTGCAACTCGGTTGCGCAGAAGTACAGGTGAGTTTATGTCATGGGAATTATGTTAGACACATTTAGGAACAGTGAAAAAGATGTCATGCATTTAATATCACAGATACCGGCCAGTTGTACCGATAATGAGTGTTTTCACAAAAGATTTCGAAGTATCGATGGAACATGCAATAATCTGGAGCATCCTATAGTCGTACGTTTTCTCATTTCTCATGTTCAAACAAAGGAAAAGTAGACTCAACACCGATGGTAAACGTATCGAAGAATTTTTTCTTTCAGGTAAAAAATGTTTCAATTATGTGAATATATTAAAGGACTGAAAATTGATCAGTCTTGAAGATATTATTGAGGTCGAAACCAGCGAGGGAGCACCTATGGGGAGTGGCGAGCACCTTCTTGCCTCTTTAAAGGCTGAACTCCCCTACGTTGTGTAAGAATATGTGAGCACACTTCGTAGCGAAAAATTTCTCATCTTGTTAAGCAAGTCAGAGTTGCGTAGTCTGTCAAAAGAGACGATAAACTTCAGACAGAAACACTCCTGACTGCAGTTAAAAAGTGTTGAGATAACAATGATAAACGCTGTTAGATGCTACGGTAAAAACAGCGTTCCACTAAATATGGTTGGAAACTTCATAAGGTCTTGTTTTGAACTCATGGTGTAATCCCACTTGTGGAGACATCGGCATCACATTCTACTTCATTAGAAAAACAAACAGTTCAAATGATTATCTCTTTGCTTCAAATTCTACAATCCTCTTAAGGGAGCTGCATTTACACCTTACATTCGTCTACTCCCAAGTGTATATGGTGACGGATTCAACAGCATCACCGGTGGGTTCCTTCACAATACAAAACCTTGCCAGATACGCTCTACGCAGTGAAGAAGGGGATGCCACTTTGGTTTTCAGGCGGTCGTCTCGACCGACGACCAAATCCACGCGAGGTGTCGATGTTTCTGCTCTCAACAGGGAGCACTATACCTGGCCCAGCAAACAGCTTGCTGATGCAGTTCGGACAGGTTCGGTTGAACGATTTCAATTAAGAAAATATTAGCATTTACATCGACTCTTTCACGGAATCCTTTGACAGAAGAGTAAATGTCGACAGTATTTTTCGTACAGTATTCCCGGAATTGGGTAGATATGAGCTAAGCCGCACCCATGCTTGATTTCCTCTGCCTATGGTCGACCTTATCTCTTCACTCATTAACTTCATAAGTTATGCTAAAACCATAAGTGTACTAGAAAGGGAACTTGTAAGGAGGACAAAACTTGAATGTAATAGCATTTCACTAAAATTTTGTTTAAGAAACATAGAAAAGCACAGTTGGTGCTAAAAGAATAACAAGCTCAGAACTTACAAGATTATCCACCTTATTTCCAAATCACAGTTAACGCAGATGACGTTAGACGCGTTTTTCATGACTATAACCGTCATCTGTGTAGAAATGACTTTTCACTAATGACTTTCGCATGTAGGAATGAACTATTAGCTTCTCACCTGCTTATCTGGCAGTTTTATTCGTTTATACAGCTGACAAGAAAGCGCTTTTTCTAGTTTATCTCTCACGATTTCACAAGAAATGCGCTGGAAAACACGTGCACGTGCCAGTCTGCCTCTGACCAACGTTGTGCAAACGTGCCACGACCTGCTAGTGACAGGAGGTATGGCAGAAAATAAAATGCAGACTTTTTCTCCCTCAAAAAGAATGCGGTGTGTTTCAGAACTGAACGCTGTGTGTCATTCTCACGTTCGTTCCCTGTTTGCCAAACGGGCATCGCTAATCGCTCTCGCGAACAGTTGAATGAGAACACAGCATACATAGACGGCAGTGTTGTAAGTTATACTTATATACATTTGTCTACAAATATTTGTTATTCTTCTTCATTCTCCTTATTTCTCTGGAATACCCGTACTTTTCATTGTCCACTTGATAAATTTAAAATCTTTACGATTTTAAGGTTAAGTAAGGATAAAGTTCTTGGCGTTATTCTCTGAGGAATGCGCCATGCAATCGACTTCATTAAGTATCGTTGGAAGTGACTGAATGCATATCTGGCCCATGCAAAGACTCGCGGTGGCGTGGCCTACCGATGTATCGAACCAGTGCGGCTATCCCCCCAGACAGGTCTAGTATCAATTTGCCGACCCCGGAGGGATGGAAGGCTTGGTGGACCATGACCGTGGGGATCAATTCCTCCTGCGTATTGCAGTGCGCCGCCGACCACTGCACCACAGGCGCCTTTATTTTGATTTTATTTCAATTTGAGGTTTAAGAATTTAAGATTTTAGGTTATTTTGATTTGAGATTTAAGAATTTAAGATTTTAAGGCTATTTTTATACCACGAAGTGATGCTTGGTAGTAACATCATAATCGTTCTGACTCTCTCTTGTGGTTAAAATTTCGGATCCTTTAGTGGTCGATCGATAGCACAAAGAAAGCAAATAGTTTTTACTGCTATATCTTCTTGAAATTTTTCTATTTTCCCAGTTGATTATGCACACTAAAAATTTAGTATAATATTCCTAAACATAATTTTTTAGGTTTATTCTTCAGAAGCTGTGACGCTGCAAACCTTAAGAACTGGTGCCATGTTGAAAACAAATGTTCGTGTTTCTCTTTATGCTTAGTTTATTTCGTTCTCTCTTCTCTCGCCCTCACTTTTTCTCTCTGTTTCACAATTTTCTCTCATTTTTGCATTTCCTTAGTGGGTAGTTTTCTTTAAAAATACTGCCTAGAATTCCCATGATCGACTTTCTTTTAACCTCGGTATTGATTAATAATTCGATGTTTTTCTTCAATAAGCTACTACCTGGAGTGAAACCCAGAGTAGGTATCTATCTTTTCAGATGTCGATGAGATAATCAACAGGCAGAAATAAATCACTCGATTTAGATTGTTAATGGTTTCATCTTTCCGCCGAACAATGGACGAGATTCAATGACTGTTGGCGACGATCGGAGTACCCTCTTCGTTGGATTGGCAGCAATGCATACCACGTTTCTCCGCCTCCACAACAAGTAATCTGATACTTCATACTTGAGATCTTTAGGACTTGTGTAATTGTCTATACTTTATGAAGAATTTTGAGCTGGCATCATGACTATGAGTGGCACTTTCAAGAAAAAGAGAAGGCATTGGAATGGGTATCAGTCCCTCCTAACTGAACGTTTATCATCTCGTGGAGGTTAGCTTCTTAGTTGGTAATCAAACCACAACCTCGAGAAAGGGGTTCACCCCACCATCGAAATAACTGCTCAAGCTGAGAAGGCGTTAAGCATTCCATTCCATAAAGTGCAGTTTAGACGAATTAATGGCAAGCAATGCAAGGTTACCCATGGTCAATCTGTAGCCAAAACAAAAAAAATGTTGAGAAGAAAAGCGTCATGCTATTCATGTCGCTTGAATGACGAAGGCTTACCGCAAGTGCTGGCATGCGAGAATAACGCGTGGAACTCTAATCGCTGTCCGTCATATTCAATCCGTGTTTGATGGAATTTCGGGTGTTACAGGTGACTATCCATTGTGGAATAACGGTAGCGCAAGACAAAGAGTGTAGAGTTATAGAGATGGTTTGGTTTCTTTCAACAACAATTTCTACTGAGTTGGTTTCCCACAACTAGTACTTTCAGTATTGCTCGCAAACTGCAAAACATGAACCGTCACTGGAATCAAGATCGAGTTTTTCAAGAAACTAGGAAGACTGTAGGCGCTGTACTACAGGTGAGTAAAAACGCATTGTAGCAACCTATATTCTATCTATCTAATCTGTTTGTTTTGCACACTTCGATGACCTTAGAAATTCATCTATGTCGCACAGATGAATTTTTAGGTTATTACCTTCCAAGAATTCCTTCCAACACTAATTGGACCATTTCACTCTCGTTTGGTACCACCGTATGTGAAGTACGTGAGACAACTTCTTATTGCTTTTCTCCTTTTTTTTCCTTTCCCTATTGCTTACTTCTTCCACATATTTTACGCGTATAAGTATAAAATCTCTCCTTATGGTGGTATGGGCACGCGTAGCACAGTGGTTAGAGGCGCTCTGCAATACGGATGAGACAGATCCCGTCTCCCATGCTCACCAAGCCTTCCATTCTACCGGAGTCGACAAAATGGTACCAGATTTGTCTATGGGGATACACTGACTCAATATATCGTTAGGCCACCATGAGTCATTGTATGGGCAGATATGCTTTTAATCACCTCTAACGATGTTTAGTGGAGCCGAGTGGATGGCTTATCCCTCAAGGACTGAACAGCGGTGAGATTTTTATCCTTTATTCCTTTATAATTGGCATTATATCAGCTTTATTTACCTTCGCGAATCTGAGAAAGCAGAAACACTGTTCCTAGAGACGTGAAAAATATACTGCACCCTTCTACAAGCCCTACCATATTCGTTCCTACTCTACCGCTATAGATTTTCTAGATCTCTCTGAAATAAGTGGGTCCTATGGCGACCTCTGTACATCGGATAATATTTTCAGTTGGTTGTTTTTGCGTCTTGTCGTGGTCGTTCCCTTACAAAATAGTATAAAAAATTGCCTCAATCAGTTTCTTTTTCAATATGTTAAGATCAAACGTTAGCTGGGCTCATATATTTAGAAGAAGCTAATAATATTGAAATTTTAAAGAAACAGTTTATGACATAAACAATCTGCGCGTCTGCCACTCAGAAGATCATTACACAAGTAACTTTCTAACCATGATTTGTCATTGTGCCCTCATCGGTTTGATCATCATTAAGGTTTTGCCAGCCATTCAGATCCGAATGCGGTTCCAGTAGACTCGTCGTCGAAGGATAAAACACTTTAGTTCATCGAATGCGCTGAGAAGTCACTTCACAAGTCACAGTCATAAATCACGAGTATTAGAAAGGATAATGAATAAAAATCTTTGCATTGATCAATTCCTGAGGGATGCGCCATGCATTAGACTTCACTAAGCATCCTTTGAGGTGATTGAATGCATATCTGGCCTTTTGCAATAACTAGCAGTGGCCTACCGATGTATCGAGCCAGCTCTGCTCGTCCTCCTAGACAAGTCGGGTACCAATTTGTCGAACCCGGAGAGATGGAGAGCTTGGCCGGCCTGGTGCATGGTTATCGATCCCATGTGTATAGTGCGCTACACGCACCCCTAAGTGAAATAGAAGTGGAATGTCTCCTCGTTTTTTAATTTTTCGTAAGCCCACATCCGTATTGTGCGAATCTCATCATTGCTTTTATTTGATTCACTCTCTCGTATCCGTCCTTACCAGGATACCTTCCATTTGTGGGCTAGGCGGCTACGGCAGGATTTTTGTTCTTCTTCGTGAATGTCGCTGAACGTTTGTCAAATCGATTCTCTCTGAAATCTTGAGATGGCTATGTTAAGGCGTTCCTAGTTTTTCCTCACAGGTTATGGTGATCTGAAAGCGCTATTGACCCCAATTCTCTATCTCAGAGTGATAGAAGCTTGTTAGAACTGGTTGAGATCGAAGATCGTAGCCACTGTTTCTGTTAACCGGCATCATTAATGTTGTGCTACAAGCATCCCAAATTGCATGTGGCAAAAAGGTCCAAAACTGTTGAAAGCAGTCACCTAAATTGACCTACAGAAGTTTGACAATTGTTTTAAGCTAAATGGCATAATGGAAAGACTAGAGAACTTTCAGATTTCTGATTCCAGGTACGATCCAACTGTGAATCCCGGTGTTCTGAACGAATTCGCCGCTGCCGCTTATCGGTTTCATGGAATGATTCAAGTCAATCTTTACACATTACATTACATGATATCTTGACTACATGCTTATTTGTGTGCTGTTTAATGAGAAAAGATGGATAATGGAAAAGGTAGCGCTGTAATTCAAAAATAAGAAGACTAGTGGGTGGAACAGTTCCCAGTTCTCACATAACTGGTGCAGTTAGCCGTAATGTATGTTAAACATTGAACTGGTACAGCCACTATTTGGTAATTTAAACAAAAAAAACTGACAAAACAGACTTTCCTACATGCACGTTGTTAAACGTAGGTATTAGATGTTTTAGTAGAATGGAAACAAAAAACTCGAAAAAAAATTAAGTAGTGATGTTACATTAGCAACTCGGTTGACATAACTTTAACAAGTACAGATGGCACCTTCATTCCAGGAATCTTATCCCTTGCTTGGACCCAATTTCGAATCTAGAGGACAGTTTCCGGTTTTGCAATGGGTGAACAGAATCGAAGTGTTACTGTCAGCAATGGATCCTCTCTATCGGTAAGCGGAAATACTCCATTTATCAGCCGAATGGTAACGTTCCTCAAACAGTCTGACAATTCTATTCTAATCGCTGACACGTCCCAAAATTACTGCAGAGGACTCATCGCGACTCCTGCCCGAAGTCCGCAACGAATCACAACATCCATAACGGAGCGCCTTTTCGGTAGCAGTGATATGGCCACCGTGAATATCCAGGTACTGCTCATACCTCTCTTGAACTCACACTATTTCACACCCGCTTATTACGTTCACTGGGAATCAACACTGCCGAACTGGGGAAGTAGTTTTTCGATTCGAAACAGCTTTCATGTGACATTGCGACAATAGTACTTTGCCTTCTCACCAACACAATATAAGCAAAGTGAAAGCAGTCTTACAAGATACCTCGTCATGATAACCTTTACGGAGTAGTAATTGGCTCGACGGAAGGAAATTAAGCACATTTCTTGCTATCGTTTTCAAAAATTGAACGTTAGTAATGTAATGAGAACAGTGGTGAAAGTCTACTCTCAAAATTTGTGGGCTATGCCTGGGTCATGGAACAAAAGAGTGAGTAAGCTCCGTGAGAAAAGTCCATGACAAGACTTATCGAGACTCCTAATGGAGGTTTTGCGTCTTCACTTGACACTAAGGTTTTCAATGATGCTGAGATATTTGCAAAACTCCGGACCGCAGGTGTATGCGGTGGGGAACGAACACGCGCTGTTGTCCTTACCGGGGAGCAGCGCACTTCACCACCACACCATTCGGGTCCTTCGTTTCGCCTGTCTCTCAGCTAGTTCTATCGATCTTTTGCCGTCAGCAATCACCCGTCAACGGGATTGATTTAGGGGGCCCAAATCGGCAACGAACCCAGTTAAGCTGAGGCCACAGTTATAATCACAATTTAACGTATTATTTACTGCCTATTCTTTTTAACGGCAGGGTATACATTGTGAAATATAAGTTCAATGATGCTGAGATATTTGCAAAACTCCGGAATCGATAGAACTAGCTGAGAGACAGGCGAAACGAAGGACCCGGATGGTATGGTGGTGAAGTGCGCTGCTCCCGGTAAGGACAACAGCGCGTGTTCGTTCCCCACCGCATACACCTGCGGTCCGGTGTCTTGCAAATATTTCAGCATCATTGAAGTTATATTTCACAATGTATAGCCTGCCGTTAAAAAGAATAGGCAGTAAATAATAGTTTAAACTGTTTTCATTTATACCTATCATAAGCCGTACAATGATTTCGTGAGCAAAATTTCGCAATTCTACGAGAATATAGCTATAAAAATGAAAAGAAAGGTTCGGAAACCCAAAACCATCTCGCTATAACTGTTCAGTGGAATTCTAAAGCGCTGGCAATAAAGTAATGTCAGACGAACTGAGTGGATGTATATACTGTGCTCATGAACACTATTGGGGTTTCGTTTTCATAACACCATAACAGCTGCTTTCAAGATGATTGAACCAGACTCTTAGAGTGATGAGCGAGGGAGAAAGAATCAGCTGTACCGCTGTGGCTCGATACAATGCATCGAGATAACAGAAATGACCTGCTGGTACTCATGTTATTAACTCACCGATTAACTAGAACACTTATTATTGCTTTTGACAGATGGTAATATTAGCTGGGATTCTCTTATTACCGCCAGGAGCTCCCCCGTTAAAGGTTTTGCAGTAAAGTTCTTCCTTGTGTCATCCTTCATTCTCTTCATTTCTTAAATGCGTACCACATTAAGATACTCTACGATTTGTTCCTATAAATACTTGTAGATATATCAAATTTCCTCACAGAACCAACCGAATTATTGTATAAGTATACACTATTTGTTACGCGCAAATATTATTTGCTTTGGCGATGCGAAATTATTCCCAACAACAAACGAAGCATTGCAGCGAGGGCGAGACCATGGCCTCCGACCGTACAATGACTACCGTAGGCTGTGCCAGCTTAAGCCAATTACAAGCTTTGATGAGGTTCGAGATTCTTTAACCTATTTTAGATATGCAAATATTTTCTTTTCTGTTTCACTGAGAGGTTTTCTAATCTCCAACATTTGCTGAACCTTAGGTCTTTCCTCACATTCCTCCCTTTTAGTGGCCAGACCTAACCATGAAAAAAGTCACTGAACGAGTAGCTCAGCTCTACCCATCGCCGAATGATGTAAGTTTTTGTTTCAAAAATTGCAGCACCGGTATTTCAACGTCAACTTATGTATGGCACACACGAACTAAAGTCTAAAGAAATATAATTGAGTCCGCAAAATCTTGTGAGAATTTACTAATAGTCCAACTGTATTTGGTGAACATGATCGAAAATAACCAAAAACTACAGTAAGTCTCTAGACAACACGAACTAACCAAATTCCGACGACTTGTAAATTAAACAACCGCACTAAAGTCTATATGTTAGCAATTGTAGCTTGATTTATATGTGGGAGGAATAATCGAGGAGCCGATTGATGGCAGTTTTGTCGGCCCAACATTCGCTTGCATCATCGCTGAGCAGTTCGTACGTCTTCGCGACGGTGACAGGTTTGGTATTCGATATCGATATGTATCGATAACTGCTTTTGAAAACATCGGAAATAGATAACTTTTCCTAAAAGAAAGGGTATTTTGAACCATTGGGTTAATTTCTAACCATCAACCACTGATAAAGGCCATTAAACACTCTCCTAAAATGAAATACGATCACGAGTCATTTCGTTTACGTAATGCCTGCACAGAGATTAAGCTATAGCATCTACTGGTTTCCAATTTTCTTCTCAGTTTTCACTAGGAACACTTATCTTTTCCTTGCATTTCAGCAGTAAACCGAATGAATAATGTTGGATTACGCGAAGATTAAAAAGCATTCGAACAAAACATTTTGACGACAATCGGCAATAACATTTGCTTGGACACATGAATGACCCATCTTTATTACTAGCATTATGAGCTCACCACTTCATATCCTTCTCGCACAGTCGTTATACATAGTAGTGGGCTGCTTTGAATATGGTAAGATAAAATGAGCACATTATGAAATCTTGAAAATATTTCAATCCCGGATGCAGCTGGTTGACGTAGGCCACGAACACCTCCGCCCGCCGTTGGTCGTCAGGACGTTTGTATTCTCCTGGAATCTATCATTCTTTTCGTCCATTCGTCACCAGCTGCTATGTTAGGACCACTTGGACCTCTCTTTCGATACCCGAAGTTCTAAGCTATGTATACCAGCCAGATGTGAGCGCCGATTAAATTTCGAAAGACATCGTTCATGCGATGTGTCCGGTAGCACGTAAATTTCATGACACGGTTGAAGCATCAGCCGGCGTATCTGCTACACAGCGCTAAGAAAATAGTTGAAATGAAAAGACGTATGAGGAGTTTTGAGTCCGCCAGTTCATCAGTAGCTTCTTAGTAGTCTTGAATGCGGCCATTGTGCTTTGCTCATTCTGCGTAATTCCTTCTTTATGTTGTTTCCCATGTTCATTGAACACCCAGTGTACACGTGCGTGGTGGTTTCTGTTATCGGGGAACCATCAATTCCAATTTGTTTACCTTTGCACCGTGTATTCTCCATGAACTGGATCTTCGTCCTATTCACGTACATTTCATTCTTTTTTCTCACGCTTCGTGGTGCTCAAAAATCGTCATCTCTGCATTGTTGATATTCCTCGAAAAGATGGCGATATCGTAAGTGAAACGAGGACTTAGTAGGAACTTCCCATCACCACGTATTGCTTTCTCATGCGAATCAAGTGGACTCATTATCCACCGCACTGCAGCAGTAACTTGGCGATACGATGTCGATTTGTCGAACCTCTTTCCCTAAGGGTATGATAAGAAGTCGATAAAAAACCTGTATTTTTCTTGTGCAATTAGGTAAGAATCAGATAGCGTTCTTATATTGGACGGGTCCATTCTTGGTCGACGAGCGCTGATACGATCACATTCGATTCCACTCTGTCATACACTTTTTTAATACGGTAAAGGTTAGGTTAGTATAAGAAACAGGTGGCACTCCTGGCGGTTTTCTATGGCCAGCAACACAATTTCCTGTTATTCATGCAGCAGAATCTCTCTTGGACTACTGCCTGCCCAAGTAGTCGTGTCTCATCCAAGGTTTTGGGTATGCGCAAAAGGATATTATTAATTAACAGCTTCTTGATTCACACTCAACAAGCATGTCGGGCGACACTTAGGAAGGTTCCATCGATTACCGTTTCTTGAGCAGGGTGACCGCACGCAACGACAACGTTGTCTGAGGCTTTCTCCTTCCGAAGGTAAGGTGTCATACGATCTGTTGTAAATCTTCTATTTTTGCTTATTGTGTGCGTAGCCCAGTGGGTTCTGCTTGCTCTAAGGACTCGTTGAGTTGCTCAACGATGTTCGTGGTGAAGAATCCAGTCACTAACGGCTCCTGTCCATAACTTATCGTCCATACGCATTATGTGTACGGCTCACCCCATCTTTGGCAATTTGGCGTATAGAACAGTGCCTCTGATTTTTAATCGTTGACGTAGGTTGAAGCTTCGTATCCCCTCCCTCACTTATTTGGTACAGGATACTCCCTCGCTCCTTCAGTTGTGCGTTATATAAAGTTAAGTGATCTTTCATCGTGCTTACGTATCAACCAGGTTTCTGATGCATACCGTGGGCCAGGAAGAATCGTGGAGTTAAAAGTCAAAAATAATGTCACATACAGCAGTAATATTAAACGATAAGTAATAGAAATAATTCAAATAATATGAATTTAGTTGTATCATACATAAAACCTAGTCGTGGAAAGCTATAACAGGCAGTAAATAAAAAGATTGATATTGTGACTTCGATTAAAGCCTCAGCCTAACTAGGTTCGCTGCCGATTTGGGCTTCCTAGATCAATCCCGTTGACGGATGATTGCTCATGGCACTCACAGATAGAGAACTAGCTGAGAGACGGGCGAAACGAAGGACCCGCATGGTCTAGTGGTGAACACGCTAGCTCCCGGAAAGGGTAATATCGCATTCGCTCCCTACCGCAAACACCTGCTGTCCGGAGTTTTGCAAACATCCCAGCACAATTGCGGTTGTTACACACGTAATACCCTGCTTGAAAAAGTGTAATAGGCAATAAATAAAAAGATTGACATTGTGCTTTTGATGGAAGCCTCAGCTTAACTGGACTCATTGCCAATTTGAGCTCTCCAGACCAATCCTGTTGACGGGTGATTGTTCATGGCACTCGCAGATAAAGAACCAGCTGAGAGAAACGCGAAGCAAAGGACCCGCGGTGAACGGTAGCGTGTGACACCAGCGGTTCGGAGTTTTGCAAATATCTCAGCATCAATGTGGTTATATCGCAAATAATAATAATAATAGTAAATAAAGAAAGCTTTAGGCATTGATCAATCCCTGAGGGTTGCACCGTATATTCGACTTCATTAAGCATTGTTTGGAGGTGATTGAATGCACATCTGGCTTTTACAATCACTCGTGGCGATCGATGTATCGAGTCAGTGCTGCTATCCTCCCAGACAAGTCTGGTATCAATTTGCCGACTCCGGAGAGAGAGAGGTTTGGAGGACCATGGACGCGAGAATCGACTCGTCGTGTGTGTTGCAGGACGCCCCCGACAACTGAGCTTCCTGGCTTCCTGGAAGAAGACTTGTTGCAACGCAGAGCTAATTGCCTCCTATCTATAATAGCAGACGATTGTCTGCAAAGTATAGCTTGGAACCCTTTCTTGAAGTTCTGGAGAAAAAAGTACTGTATGTCAATGAGAAAAGAGGAAGACAGATCCTTAAGCCATAGACGAATCCATGTGCTAGCACGGAAATCCCCACGGAAGGCGGTTTACGAAAAAAACGCATAAAATTGATAGAGGCGACACAGCGTATGGAGACAGATCATATAGGTTCCCCACAATGAAATAAGCCCTATGCCTGGTTGTCTCTGTCCTACGTTTTATGAAATTATCGTTTATAACTCGTATGAAATGCTGAGAAATTTGCAAAACTCCGGACCACAGGTGTATGCAGCGGAGAACGAACACGCACTGTTGTCCTTACCGGGGAGCAGCGCACTTCACCACTACACCATCCGGGTCCTTCGCTTTGCATCTCTATCAGCTAGTTCTATCCATCTTTTTGCCATCAGCAATCATCCGTCAACGGGATTGATGGAGCGAAGGAGCCGGATGGTGTAGTGGTGAAGTGCGCTGCTCCCCGGCAAGGACAACAGCGCGTGTTCGTTCCCCACACCTTCTGCATACACCTGCGGTCCGGAGTTTTGCAAATACCTCAGCATTTCATACGAGTTATAATTCGAAACATACCCTGCCATTAAGAAGAAAAAGGCAGTAAATAAAAGAGTTAAGATTATCGTTTATGTTTTTCTGAATAAGTTGTCTTTCCAGATTCTACTACGAAAACGAAGGAGTCTTCACGCCAGCTCAGGTAGCTGCGTTGAAAGCGGTGACATTGTCATCGGTATTGTGCGAAACAGGCGACAGGTAAGCAATGAACATATCCACTTCGCAATAGAAGTGTGGGAATAAATGCACAGACATAGAGGACTTTATTGATCACCAAAGAACATATTGTTGTTAGCATTTACTGAAGAGCAATGACTAACTTAGAACGTAGACCTACAGATGTGCCCTGTTATCGGGAAATGAAAACCGGACTATTCTGAGTTCTAATTGCCGTGTCATTGGATCAAATTATATCCTCCACAATCAATTTTGTTATGAAATAAATAACGTACACTATCTCTCTCTAATAAACGGTGAGTGAGGTGCTAATACTGTGATGGCAGCTAGTGGAATGATATGATAGTGACCTGCTGAGGTTTTTAAAGTGTTAAAAGGCTGAGTTTAAACATAAAAGTATTATTTCCCACAAGTAGGATTTTTCGTTTCAACGAGTTGATATCACCTGCGACCGTTTTTTCCTAATGTCGATACTTCAACTTAGGCACTGTTTCTTAAAATTGGAAACTGTTTTTAAAGAAACATGTCATCCAATGAAGGTGACGAAAAACGCCAAAACTCTATCGTCCCAACTATCAACACTAGAAATACTTTAGTATGACAAGAATTGTTCCGAATGCGTTCACCATTGACCGCGGAGAGAAGGCCGTATCGTGTAGCACGCTGAAGAACCTCGATCTTTCCGCATGGAAAGAATAGGTACTTGCTTTTAGTTCGTTTTTCAAAGTTACCTTCGTTTCCAAATAAGACAAACTTTTCTGTTAACCAGTCTCGGTGGGCCCTCCACTACTGTGAATCCACATGTAATGAATTTATTACATATGGATGGATGCTACTGGCAAACCCAGTACCCTTTAACAAAGTATCACAGTCGCAAAGCTTGCGCTATTTGTTTTTGTCCATTAAAAGATAAGTCTGTGGATATAGTAAAGAGAATCCTGAAAATTCAAGTATAAAAACTTCTTTATTAACCCTGGTATACCCGTCTCAGATGAACCACGGAAAACTACGTGAAGTCATTTCCACTCAAAACTTTCTGTGGTGTAAGGTGATCTCATTACCACAATACGTATACCGTATTACTTTTTTGAGCCACCCTATCTTCTTCTTCTGCTGTAGAAAAGACAAGTCTGAAC